ATATATAGTCACTTATTTATATTTATAAATCTCACATTTATATATTTGTATATTTATATATTTATGTATTCATATATTTATATATAAAACAAATTACAAAAAATTTTCCTTTTAGAAAACATTATCGTTGTTGTTTATACCTTATTTTTCTTTTTCTCAGTTGCTTTCAAATCAAAAATGTTGGTCTAGAACAGTGGACAAAATACTTTTTATGAATTATCTGAAATCAAAAAGAAATGGATTGAACCATATTTTTAGTCTTTACTTCCGTATACAGTTGAACAATAAATAGCAGAAGCTGTTAAGCTTCTTATGAACAGTAGGGGCAGCAGTTGAACTGATGTTTAGGCGAGGGAATAAACTGTCGACTTTTGGACAATATAATTTTTGATTTTAGACAAAAATTTGTTGTTTTGCGAGTGACAGTTGGGTACATCGTTTTTAAAGAAACAGATACTAATAATAAGTAGGTGAAAGTTGCTCTTTTCTTCTACTAAAGTTTTCCTAGCACAGTTTTGATAGCTATGTACTAAATTTTTTTTTTATTTTACACTTTTTCAACGCTACAGCGAAGTCTGATTTGAGCGACTGGCCAAAGTTGTGTATAATGATAACAGTTTTAGTTTAGAGAATAACCAAATAACTTCAAGAGGTTATGTAAAAAAAATTTTTTTTCTAAGGTAAATAATGTACTGAAAGCATACAGTTTGATAACAGACTATACAAACATTGAGCAGTCATAAATTTTATTATTATTATGCTCACTCAAATAAAAAGACGTGAAAAAAGATGCAATCAACAGTTTTATTGAGTATTATTAATTGGGAAGGTGGAATACTTCAAAAAAACTTTTTACCAAATTCCCCAGGAAGGTCAAAGCTATAAACAGGTGTTAAACACACCTTTTCAGCGTTTGTTGGTTGAGTAGTTGGCTACTCATTACCGGATATTGATTGTTATTCAGTTGTCAGAACTTGAAACGAAGCAAAAGTGTTACAACTTATTCTTTTTTTCCCAAATCAGTCAATATAATTGCTTTAGATTTTTCTCGAAAAGTTCTTCATTTGATAAACTAATTCAATATCTGAAAATTACAAAATTAATTTTTTTTTCTGTTTACATGGACTTTTAAATTTTGAAACTAATTAACGCCTTTTATAAAACAAATAAATGCTACACTTTAAAGTGACAAGTGTCTCTCTTAGATTAAACCTGTTTGCATCAAAATGATATTACAAATGTTCTAAGGCCGTTAGCATTATTATTAACGTATAAGGAGAAAGAGCTCTTTTATCAGCGTGCTGTAAAAATCGTTAAGAGTTTCTATGTTGTGAAAAAAGCCTTTAGTGACAACCAATGCAAAACCACGGAAGGAAGCACCCGGATTTCAACCGGAGAACTCTCGATCTGCAGTCGAATGCTCTGCCACTGAGCTATGCCCCCTATGCTCGTTGCGAGGTATTCATTTCTGACATATGTTCTTGACATCCCTCTGCAGAATAACTGAGAAGTAACTGTTTATCTGTCTATAACATCCATTTAAAAGCGATTTTCAGCCATTTTGTTTTTCTACCTTTTCTTCTCTACAATCGTTAAACAAATGTATCGAACAAAGTTTGTGCCCTCTAAAAAAACCACTAAAACTAAACCAGCCATCTCTGCATATTTCCAAGCGGGCTCTTAGAAATATGGAATTGAAGTGAAGAACTTTTTCAATAAATTGATTATGCAAAACCGAAATGGTTTAAATGACGGATTGAAAGCCACTGTGGATAGGGTCAAGACTGAAAAGATGGGGTTAGACTAATGAAGAGCAGATTTTTGTTCATAATGGGCTACTGAATTTTTGTGGGCGTGGTTTGATAAGGTGAAAACAAATTAATGCTGAGTGCTGGAAAGAAACAATTGATACATTAGTTCACACCGGTTGTAGATGTATGAGCAGCCTGAAATATTGACGGGTTTCTGTGTTACCAGTACGCTAACTGAAAAACTCGTCTTCTCTTCCTAACCCAAAATTAATCTTTGGAATATTAGCATCTTTGTCTAGAAAAAAAATTTTTTTCGGTTTTTATTTTACTTGGATTGATTACCAATACTCACCAACTGTTAGATGACAGAAACCAATATGAAACAACATTTCTCTTTGATATCACTTTTTTCTAGTTTTAATGTGTTTTCAACGTTGTAATAAGCAAAAATTGTTAAATCAACATTGTTTGAAAAGTTCTGATTCAGTATTATATTTGATAAAAGTGTGATATATTTATGGGAATATCGTATAGCTTATTTATGTCATTTCAATTATCTTAAAAGCAAAATTTTTAGTCAAAGTCACTCTCTCACTTTTTCTTTGTTTGCTTTTTTATTTGTTTTTTCGTTTACTTGTTAAATTATGCACGAAAGCAAATATATTACATTTAAAGTTATGTGTCTAAGGTCATTATTGGCGCAGGTTGCAACAAGATCAAAAGTACCAGGTTCATCGAAGTTTTTGTTAATAATCACTAATCCATATTCTTAATAATGAATTTAATATGCTTTTATGGAGTGATATTATGCAATTTTTGATTACTTGAGTGGAAAAAAGTAAAAAGGAAGGCCAATAAACAGAAGCAGAACAAAGTTTCATCTAGAATTCTGTTTTTGGTGCTTTAATGATTATTTGATTTTCGTATATTATTGCTTTCGCTAGAGTAGTCTGAAATGCTCCAAGAAAATCAAGGTTAATTTTCACGTTCTGATAGTCTAACGTTGACAGTTAATAATAAGACCAGTCATCAGTTTCCTATCATTTTTGATTTCAAAAGCAAGTCAGCAAGCGACCGTTTGGACTGAGATGTCTCAGCACTTAGCAGTGTCACCGTATTGCACGAACTATATTAACTGCTGCGCATCATCTTCATCGTCGCTGTCAGCAACGTCCATTAAAGAATCTGGTGGCTTAAAATCGAGGCGAAAGAAACAGATTAGTGGCGAAGCATTGTTTCGGCAACGGAAGGCTGCGAATGAGAGAGAGAGAAAAAGAATGTATAGGTAAATCAATGTATCAATAAAGTTGATATTTTAGCCTGTGGTTTTGAGCAGTTTTCAAGCTCTTACCTTTTAGGTTTTTCATTGACCAAAGAAGTAAAGAACTTTAAGGGAGGAGTCTGTCAATTTAAAAAAGTATTTGACAATTTACTCTAACGTCTTTATAGCTGCAGAGAAACTGTTATTTTAAAATTCTGGAAATGTTTTTATCTCACAAAAAAGTAAGAGACAGCACTCGCTACAAGTTTAGTTTACCTAGATTTGCATGAGTGTACATGAATGAATATATTTCATAAGTATCTCCATGGAAAATGATGTTAAAAATAAAGCATGTTTTTTGCGCTTCTTTAAGCAATTCCAACCTCTAGAAAATACTGTTGAACAAAGCGCAAAGATTATGAAATCCAAATTTCTAGGTATTTTTGCATTGTTAAGAAGTGTTTTGCAGTATCAACAAAGGTTTCGACAAGTTGCGACTTCGACTTCCCACTTTGCCTTACGAAAAAAAGTTAAGTAAAGTGGATACGCTTAAACAAGCTATTAAGTATATCAAGCAACTGTCTGAAATGTTAAACGACTGCTCCCCTTTACGAGAAAGAACAGAATTCTCTGAGCCACGACAGGGGTCGACAGTGATTCTAACTTCTCCTAAAAGTGAGTTACTTTTTTTATTAAATAACAGCGGCCGGAAGAAGTCTTATACGACTTTTAACTACCGTCGTTTGAAATCCACTTTAGAGAACAATTGTTTTTTCTAGACATACGAAACACTGGGCATTTATTTAACAGGTGAACGTCTAGGGAAACGCCGTTTTGTAACATAATTTTTTAGCATGTGTTGGTTTAGTATTTGCTGACCTACTTCGTTTACTTAAATGTGAGAAGAGTTGAACAGTTTTAGACCGGCATTTCCAATGAAATATTATGTCTAAAATTTTAGGTTTTGACTCAAAAGTGCTATCTGTATCATGGTGGAAATCCACAGAACAATATGGAGAAGCGATTCGTGATGAGAACGGCGTACCTCACGTCCGTTGTTCTAAAGTCTGGATGCCCGACGTTATGGTGAACAACAGATGAATAACTAACAGAAAGAATATCGGATACAGTGATTCTGTATTTACTGAAGTTTGAAAACCAATTTTAAATCCTCATTTGTACACATTATGTTTATGCTTATTACACGGAATAAACTATCTAGCAAATAAAATTCTTTACATTTCGATCTCTCATTCATTTTGCGAGCTTATAAAATACTGCTTTTTCTGTTGATGACTAGAAGGTATCAAAGATTTTTCAAGTCTATGAGTTGTCATCCAGTCACAAATTGCAAATTCTGAAAATGTTTGCACTATATAATTTTTTGAAAAATTTGTTCATGAACCATACTTATTCTGAATTTTCATTTTATTAGTCATCGTGAAGCCTCTTTCCCTAGTTTTTTTTGTTTTGGTATATTGACATCTCATACGGTTGTCTATCTGGAAACTGCAGCAAATATCAAAACACCAGCTGTGACGTTTGTTTGCTAAGACTCTTCTTCTTTTTTTTGGTGGCTTAAAAGAGGATGTGATGTCGCTAAATAATTTTATTATACAAATTGTTCAAAATCGTAAAAAATCAGTTATTAATTACGAAAAATTTCTTTTTAATTGTTTGCTGTTGTCATACAAGTTTTTTTATCAGCTTTTACGACCCTTTTTTGAAGAACGGGGGTTGGCAGAGAAGGGAGAACCTCAGCAGTATGAAAACAGCATTCAAATTTTGAATGCGTATTACAGTATTGAAAAACAAATTTTTTTTGCTTATTTCTAAAAGTTTATGCACGGAAATATTCAGCTCGTTTGCCCAGTGACTAATGGGGTAATGTTGGAGTAATCTTCGTATGAAGTTTCAACACTTTTACAGTAAATCTGATGGACAAACATTACTGATTATTTAATAGAGTCCGATATATTATTCCAACAAAAGGTACTTTTGCATTTATCGGCGACTCCTGCGGTGTATTTACAATGATGTCTCTTTTTTGGGCAATATTTGTTCCTTTAATCACCAGTAAGATTTTAACTGCGCTTTTATTAGTTTAGATTTGCTTGATATTTTTCGAAAAAAAGGAAGCATAAAATTTGTTTTTCAGTGCTTATTTTGAACCCTTTGCTTCAAAAAGCTATTTTATATTCGCTCTTTACCAAAAGCAGTAGTTTTTCATTGTGGAGTTTTGTTTTTTGATTTTAACTTACCGTATTATGATAGATTTAAACAGGTAAGGAAGGTGTTTTCTTTTTTCGTAAAATATGAGCAGTTCTTATGTTCGACAAAGCAAAAGGTCAAATGCTCAAAAGCAAATCACTTGTTGATGAATCTCTTTGTTCTTTTTACACATAAAATTTCGACACCGTTCTAAAGACGAAGACGAACTTAACTGTTCATCAGTTGTTTCAAACTTTTTGTACCAATTTCTAACTTAGCCCTTCAACTGTTAAACTTATTCTCCATTCTGTGAACAGACTTTCTCAAGTATCTTGTTTTGATAGCACATGCTCTTCAGTTTATAACAGTGGTACTGAGAACTGTCTGAACAAATTCTGAATTATTATACACTTTTCGAGGAAAAATTGTATCCCAACAACTTTCGTATATTTTTCTTCTGATATATGCTTTCATTTATCACTCCTTTGTTATTGTCACCTTATTCAGTTGTTTGATATATTTGACAGACCGTTTAAGCATATCCCCTTACTTAACCTGTTTTTGTAGGGCAAAAAAAAACTTTATTTTACAATGTAGGTCTTATTAATTTCAAGACTAGCGTACTTCATTAGCTAAGCTGCATAAGAAGTTAAGCTATACTCAGGTATTCCATCATCTAAAAATTTTGGTATTTAGGTTTCTTCAAGTTTACACTTGTGTTAGACTAACGTTTTTCGTTTGTCTAGCTATCAGATTGATGAGCTTTATTGCATTTTCTGAAATCAGCCTCAGCTTTCCAGAAGTGTATTTTTTTCTGAATGTTTTGTCTAAAAATGATTCATCGTCTTTTAATGCTGGAAGTCCATATCCCTGTCATTCATCTCTGTACACTGAACTTTTTATCAACGTTAAACACGTGAATAAGGTTGTGTTCTAAGCGTATAATTATTAGGAACTGCAGTCTTCTTAGTTTTCTAACAGAGTGTGGTGAAAATAAGCACAATTTTTGACACTAAAAAGTTTTACTTTATAAAACCAGTAATTTAAAAATTGTGTCTAAAATGATAATCGATAAGCTTTATTTTTTTTTTTGTTTCAACAGGCTGCTGGGCATTGAAATGTTATAACTGCGAGGTGAGCTATCAAAAATATATGCAAGCAGAACCGTCAATTTGTAATACAACCGAAGGTCCAAACCTTATGTATTGCATTTACTGTAAGTTATCAACGTTATTTTCTTAATATTCACTTTATAGATCTTTATAAAAAATGCGGGCAAATTAAGTTTCTAGTTTTCAACATTGTGAAATGAAAGAGGTTTGTCAAAATTGGTACAATAAGTTTATACAAAGCTGTTTGATTGTTGTGATTACTTCAAAATACATTAGACAACGCTGATCATAAAATATTGGATTTTAGATCGAAGTACAAATGTTGCTACTAATACAGTGAAAGTTACGCGTGTAGGTAGTTTAAATGGTGAAATTTCTGTTCAAGAATATGGGTTGACGAATTCATCTATGGTGAAACTAAATACCTGCAGTGCCATAAGGTATGTAGACCAATAGTATTTTTACATAGTATATTTTTACACCAATAGCATCTGTTGTTTGTTTCTATTTTTCATGACTATTCGATCTACATATAATGTTAGAGGTAAAAATGGAGTACTCATTGTATTCTCTAGCTGTTTATTTAGAGATTAGGCTTAATAAAGAAACTTTTAGAACAGCTAATTTTTTGGCTGAACTATACTATTGCCAATCTGATCTTTGCAATACAAATGATGGATGCCAAGCAGGTAAAATGTTTTGTCTAAACTTAGTGATAATAGTCGATCAAAAAAATTTTTAAACAAAAAAGAAATTTTACTTTAAGTTAGCGTTATCGCAATAGAATTGCAAATAATTTTAGTTTTTTTTTCTTTTTGCCACTTACACATAGATCGTTCTAAAATAAGTGATGACAATGAATGACTGTATACAGGTGCAAAGAGCTTAGAATGTTATAACTGTAACGTAAACTTTATTCGTTATTCCGTGAACGAACCAAATTCTTGTACAGACAAAATTACATCGTCGGCTAATGGATACTGCGTCTATCGTTTGTGCTTATCCTGTTTATTTATTAACTGTTAAAGCAAAAAATAAATGCTTAATAAGCATCGAAGTGTGCAATGGTTCAACATGATTTTGAAGTTCTAAAAAATTTTGCCAGTTATTAGAATATTTCTCAAATATTTCTTCTGTCTATTTATTAAACGAAAATTTTTTTAAAAACTAAAATTTCAAGCATGATCGTTATGCTACTGTAACATTTCTCCAGTTCTTTATTTAGCTTAACAATCATAAATTATAACCAACGTTCTATTTTTCCTAGATCGAGTATTCAATCCAGCAACAAATGCAGTAGTTGTCCAATATCGCGCTGCACTGACACCAGAAGTGGCACTTCCAGATGGTAGCTTGGTGACCAATAAAGTTGCTGGCAACAATTATTGCATAGAATCCAGGTTTTTTAGTCTAGAATAATCAGCTTTCAGAGAAGAACTTTATTTATTCTAGCTGTAACTACCTGATTAGTTATTTAGCTGCTGTTATAATTCTGTTTTTGTTTTCAACTAGCATTTACAAGTTAAATACAGAAATCTGCAATTTCAATAGTTATACTTATAATGCAATAATGTTTCAGCGGCAACGGTTATAAAGCACAAACATTTTTCTGTCAAGCTAATCTCTGCAACTCTTACGACAGCGTTTGTCCAGCATATAAATCTAGTATGCCACATATTTACTTAGATTCAATTTTATAATAAAATTTTAAAAATCTTTTTTGAAAATGTATAGTTTATTTTATTGTTTACAAGAACCATCACTTATATGTTAAAATTATTCAAAAATAGTTTAGTTTTAATTCATGTAAATGTTTTTTTTTTTTTTTTCAGATTCTGTGGCAAATGTAAATAAAAGTTTTGCTGACCACTACTCAACGGTAATTTTGGTTTTATTAACTGCAACAGGTCTGAATTGGAAATATTAATTGATCAAAATTGATGCAGTTCAATCCTACGCAGTCTACGTATTTCAATGCCAACAAGAGTTCTCTTACAGCAGCTTTTTGTTTTCATTTTTTTCTTTACAAAATTTCTCAGTGTTATAGTATCTGATCAAAATTATCAAAGAAGAAGTACATCTGCTTATTTGTTATTTTAAATTGACCATAAAACGATGATTGTAGTATCAGGATATCAGGTTGTAGCAGTTAGCCAAAAAGAAAAAAAAAACTGTTTATTTGTTTTGCTATTGTATTAATGCAAATTTCCGGTTGCTGAACAGTCAAATTTGGTTTTGAAATTCATCAGTAATATCCAATAATATAATAAAAAGAAAAGATCATTGGTACTGGCAAATGCCAAGTAGAATGGTCTAAAAATCGGATAAAACGGTAGTAACACATAAAACCGTTTTTTTTTTTTCTTTTGTTTTGATGTTTCTTTTTTACTTTGAATATAATACTTCTGTTTTTTCAATTTTTTTTAAAAAAATTTGTTTATCACTTTAATAATATACTTAAATATATGTATTTACCTTATTGAATAGTGCCAAATTTAGACGGTACTTTGTACGCGAGTGTGTGTTTTGTTACTTAACAGTTGTTAAATTGTGATGAAAAGACAATGAATATTGCAGTTGTTAAAAAACGGTGAAGACTGATTAGACTTTATACTAAATGCAGAAATAAGTTGTTTAAAATAAATATTTAGCAATAAATAACTGTACTATATTTGATGTATTGGTGTTACGTTGAACTCTCTTCAGTATCATCATTAATGCTGTTAAATTTGCAAAATTTTTCACATATATAAAAAAATTAATTGCCAATTCTGAATTGTTAACTGTGAACATTGTTTTTCTGCTTAAAATTACAAGTTACAAAACAGTTTTATTTTTGCAAGAATTAAGAAATGATCTATGCATATACTGAGTGAAACATAGAAAAATGTAGTGGCTAGAAAAAGTTAATGAAAATATTTGGAAATTAATCGACAGTGTAAGCAAATACGAGGTCTAAAACTTGAAATTAATTTTTTTTTCCTCTACACTGACCAGGGTGTTATATGTAATTAGGAAAAAGGAAGAGCAGATTATTTAATGATGGCAGTTTTTTTTCTTGAAAAAATACCGCTAGCAAATTCGATTTGAAATTTTAAGAAGTGTTTATTTAGCGTAAATATCTTCAGTGCTTCTTTAAAAAAAGCGCATCATCTTAAGATGTTGATAACCATGATTTAATCATTTGATTTATGTATTTGTTGATTTTGTAATGGTTACAATGATTTGCAATAAAGTTATATAAATTTACCTGTATAATCAATTATCAAAGTAACTTTTATAATAGTATCTTTCAAGCATTGTAGCTTTGCAAATAAAAATGAACTTTGTTCACTCACATTTTTTTGATTAGACTTTTATCCTTAAAAATTTTTTTTTTTAAATTTTAATAATCTATGAACAATTTTATGACATTTTTTTCTTTTTTTTCTTGACATATGTAAGAGAAAAAAACTTTTTTATTTGATATTTACTAAAGGTTTCACCCATAACATTGATGTAATCACCAAATTCTGCGTCATCGTTTGTATTTGTCACTGCCGAAACAGCCACTTCTCACTTCCCCCTCTTCTTCGATCATTAATCAGTCAATATCGGCGATGGTTCACCAATTCAATAAATTCAACCTATACAAATAGCAAAAAAAAATTGTGATATCTCAGTGTTTTACCTAAGTTTGTATCATTAATTCTTTGCTTATGCTAAGAAAAAGAATTTTTTTAACAACACATCCGATATGTATTACAAGAGGAAATTTTGTGAACAGTTACTAAATTCTTTGAGCGGATGATTAGACACAGGGTTTTGGTAGTGGAAAAAAAAGCTGTTCACCAGTTTCTACAGTAAAAAGTGTCATAGTCCATTTTTTATTGCTCGTCGATCAAAGAAGATATTTTTTGTAAATAAGCTTGTCGTCATGCTATTAATTCATTATGTTCAGAGTGTTATTATGTCATATAAATGTGACTAAGCATTATCAACTGCTATAAAGTTTATGACGTTGAAAGAAGTAAATTTTATGCAACAATAAAAGTTTTATATTATTTGTTGAAACTTGAAGTCTACTCGATTAAGGTTTGTACTTTTTTCTGAACTAAATGCGTTGTAATTAGTTACTTAAAACTTTGAGATTTATATCGAACTTCGCCGGAAACGACACAGTAACTAAACAAGCTAGGCAGCCAAAATAACTTATAAGATATTCAATGGCTAAGTGGGGTTCAAAAATTATTCCTAAGAATTCAACAATTTTAGAAAGAAATAAATTAAGTTTTGGTAAGTGAAAAAAAATAATTTTATTGCTGAAAACATTGCTTACAT